CATACCATACCATACCATACCAACTTTATTTATAAAGCACTAAAAACAACCAAAGTGGACCAAAGTGCTGTACATTGCAATAAAACAATATAAATTATAAACCACAAACAACAATATAAAATATAATCAATCAAATGACTAAAATCAACACAAAAATATCAAAATGCCAGGGAAAATAAATGAGTTTTTAAAAGAGACTTAAAAACAGACAGGGTAGAGGTTTGTCTAATGGACAGCGGTAAATCATTCCAGAGTTTAGGACCAGCAACTGAGAAGGCTTGATCACCTCTAAGCTTACGCTTCGTTCTTGGGACACTCGAGAGAAACTGATTTGCTGACCTCAGAGAGCGTGTGGGTGTATGCCAATGAAGCAAATCGGTTAAGTAGGATGGTGCAGAGCCATGAAGGGATTTAAAAACAAAGAGTAAAATTTTGTAATGGACCCGAAAATGGACAGGTAACCAATGTAGGGAGGCCAAAACTGGAGAGATATGTTCATATTTCCTTGTACCTGTTAAAAGACGCGCTGCTGCATTTTGGACCATCTGGAGGCGATTGATAGAAGACTCACTGACCCCAAGATACAATGAGTTACAATAGTCCAAACGGGAAGTAATGAAAGCATGAATAAGCATCTCAAAATGCAATGCGATGCAACGGGGCGCCACCTGAAATCTTGCCTAGGGCGCCAAATTGGTTAGGGCCGGGCCTGTTAGGCTTACTGGTCAGGTGGCCAGACACACAATGCAAATTTTGTTCCATGTCTGCTGAATGTGTAAATAAGCAAGGATTTGCTAAAAACTATTTTATAAGCTTTACCTGTATTTGTATTGTATGTCAGTGTTGTGTTTTAGCTCATTCAGTTTCCTCCAGGATGCCCAAAAAAATCAAAGTGTAGCTGTAAGGAATAAGGCACCTGTTGATTTATTACAGCAAGTGAAACCAAATGGTACAGGCACATACATTTAAACAGAAGGTATACAACATGTACACATAGACACAGTTACTGGTCTAGGGTGATACTGTAGGATGTCTAGTATCGACCAAGTAATACACCTGTCAAAACCCTAATCTAGGCTGGACAGAGGATGGGAGATCACATATGAATTGTAGCTAAAATAATTCTGTTTTACAAACAAACAGTAAATAACTAAGATGGAGCCCAAATGAGTACAACAAAAACAAAGGGGGTGGATGCCAAGTGATAGAAGAGGACTAGCTAGCTGACTTACATCAGTTTCTACAGAGGAATCATAGGGTCTGTTCCCTGCTCATCCATCACTGTCTGGTTCGGCTCAGCAACCAAACAGGACAGGAACAGATTCCAGCAAACAGTCAGGACTGCAGAAAATATCATTGGTGCCAGTTTGACCTCTAGGAAGGACCTGTAATGGGTCAAAGGAGGGCAGAGAAGATTTCTACAGACCCCTCACATCATCAGATGTTAGGGGGCAGGGGGGAAGGGAGGTAATCATGCGGGGAGCAGCTGCTGGTTGTAGATCTGAGGTGAGGTGGGTGACTGTTAAGCCCCCTTACACACTGCCTTTATGCAGCCCACTCAGAAAAGCCTGTATGTGCAGCTCTCCTCCAGCAGATGGTGGAACAATCCTGTCTGGAGTAGCCTTTGGCCTTGACATCTGTAGTCATGTACAGTATTTCTTAACAGGACTAATAGGCACACATTTTACCCCGTCATAGCAGGAAGAGCACAGATATAATTAATAGCATTTATGATGGCTGAGTTGCATTTGTTATAGTTGTGTCAGTTCAGGCTGCTTGATAACTCTGCATGGTGGTGCACTGGCAGTTTTAAATGGGATATTTAAGAGGAACTGGACTAATGTTAATGTTATCGGCTTCACCCCAGAGTTTTGCTGCTTTTACAAGTCAAAATACCAACTTAAAAAAAAATAATAACGTTTGCAGTTTTATAATGTCACACGTGAGTTGTTGTAAAGATTACACAGGTGTCGACACTAAAGGGTGAATACTTTACAAATTCTCAGCTTCTTAATTGTTTTTTTTTTATCTTGCTCTTAGCTTTTTGAGTACACCCAAATGTTATGAAATGGTTTTATTTGGACCCACATCAGTGAGCACTCAGTGAGCAATGTTTAAAGTTTGTGCAAAATATGAAAATAGTGCTGCCTTTTGAGTTTTCAATATGTAACACTAATGACAAAGGTAAAACTGTAAGTACATTCACCTCAGTTGCAGAGACAACTGCATGTTGTTTGTTCATTCATTTTGTTTTTAAAGCTCTTGCACAATTGGATCTTGGCCAAACTCCCCGTCAAATGAATGAGTCACTTAACTGTAGTTTTGGGAAGGTGTATTTCTCCACTTTGGTCAGCTCGTCACTTTAAAGAAAACATTGATTTTCAGGCAACATTTTGCCATCTACCTATGCTCACATCAAGCTGTGGCTGGTAAGACTGCCCTCAGACTGCTATCAGACAGCTCTATGGACAGTTCAGGTTCTTCAAAAGAGGAAAGAAAGTAAGCTACTTCAAAACTATAAGCATATTAGCCTATCTGAGCAAGGCCTACGGTTACATTCAACAATTGCCTTCATTATTTAAACTTCTTTTGTAGTCATCTTAGGTATGTATAGCCCTACAGACTGTGACAGTAGCTCACAATGTTGAAACACCGGATCATTCGGATTATAATTGTCCACAGAGGCTGTAGACACACCAGAGCTGGCTTTTGGTAGTTTGATCATGCCAGCATGCGCATGTCCTTTAGAGGAGAGAGAGAAAGAGAGATACAGGTTTAGATAAGCAAAGACTGGTTCTATCTATGACACCAGGAGGTAGAAAGCCATTCTTTTGTCTGCCCTTCCTGTCAGTGCAGACATCATCCAGTTTACAGTACAGCCCCAGACTGACACATCCTTGTTTGTTGTCTGATAACATGGGAAGAAGTTCAGTGGGCGGATTTTCATTCATCCTGGGCCTGCCTCATCCTCACAGTCACTGGGAGGGCTCTGGTGACTGATTGGTCTGCAAGTGGCCATCCTTTGCCAAGCCCACAACATATGCAGATATATATGCACTTCACTTGACAGAAACATAGGAATAGGGACATTTGGGATCATTCTCTACAACACAGCTTGTTTTCCTGTCTTTTACCTGAGTGTGGTAAGTTAAACAGAGATTTAAAAAACATCCACATTCCCTTTCTATTTTTGATCATTGTTGCTTTACAATCATATTTGCCAGTGTTTCTTTTTAACCAGCTTGATGTTTTTAAAGATTTGACACTTGGCTAATGAAATATATTTCTCCACTTGTCTGCTCTACAGTGAGATGAAGACTCAGCAGCCTCTTCATGTGGCCACACCAGTGAGACAGAGTCTTGCCCTGACCAAAATGGCTGGAACCCCTGTTTACCTGAAACTGGATTCATCTCAGCCAACAGGATCCTTTAAGATCAGGGGCATCGGGCATCTCTGCCAAACTGTGAGTAGTTCTTTTCGTCGCTGTGGTGATGGTGTGATTTGTCCTGTTTGTATAGGAATCTGTGTTGATGATTAGATCCAAAGACCCTATATAAACCAGTTTTAGTGTGTCATCTTCAGTCTGAACACTGGGTTATTTTGGGTTTTGGGTTTTCAGTGGGCAGAGCGAGGATGTGAGCGGTTTGTCTGCTGTTCAGGTCAGCATCACAAATCTATATAATAGTTATCTTTGGCCCTTTTGCTGTGTTCGACAGTGTAATCTTTGACGCTTTTGGTCCTAACAGGAGGAAATGCTGGTATGGCAGCAGCGTATTCTGCCCGTCAGCTCAGGGTACCTGCTACTATAGTAGTTCCAAGTGTCACACCAAACTCCACAGTGGGCAGGCTGAAGGACGAAGGTGCCACTGTGATCATTTATGGCAAGGTTAGTTAATCGTGTGTTCCTTATATTAATCATATTGCATTTTTTTCCTCCTGGGTTTAAATAATATTAAGTTCTGGTTAAGGTTTGTGCACATTTAATATTTTCATTAATTTAGAACAGACTGAGATGCTAAATAAGAAGACGAGCAGATAAATGGAATGAGGATGCAAAATTTAACAATTAAAATGGTCTTATAGTTTAATGCACAAAATGCAGAATAAATTGTATTGTAGAATAAATCAGTTGAATTAAAATAATTTGATTTCAGATTAAATGAAGTTGTGTCTTGTCTTTCAGGCTGTAAATGAAAGCATTGAATACGGACATAAGCTAGTGGCAAACAACCCTGGCTGGATATTCATCTCTCCATTTGATGACCCCCTCATCTGGTGAGACAGTCTCAGACTGTGTGCCTTTAAGGGATTGTGACAGCATTTACCTTACCATCTTCTCTGTGATGACATTCTTGAATAGTAATGTATCCGTCATGAGATACACAGGGTGGGAAAAGTGATAAGACAGATTCTTCTCAACTTTAAAGTAAATTAAATTGTTTTAAAATGTGACGGATGTTAACACCTGTCTTATCTTGCACTGTCATTCATGCTCATGCAGTTGCAGGAATTCGATGAGGCATTATGACAGATACAGAGTATCTTTTATATATATCACAGTGCCAATTTTGAGGCGTTGTCAAATTGTTCATTTCGCACACACAAGCATATATTACCAATGTCATGGTCAGCATAATGATGAAGATTTACTGCCTTGAAGAAGAAAGCAAACAGGCTGCAACATGTAGCAAAGTCTGAGTTTCTATCTTCACATTATACCAAAACTGATGTTGAACCTCTAGGAGACTGACTGGGTATGATTGTGCTTGTGTGTGCAGGGAAGGGCACACGTCGCTGGTGAAGGAGCTGGAGCAAGATCTGAGGGAGAAGCCAGGAGCTATAGTGCTGTCGGTGGGCGGTGGAGGGCTGCTGAATGGCGTAGTGGAGGGACTGCACCGAGTTGACTGGGCTGACGTGCCTATTGTAGCCATGGAAACCATGGGAGCACATAGCCTCAATGCAGCCATGAAGGCTGGAGAGCTGGTCACTTTACCTGCAATTACCAGGTACTGTGTAATCTATTACCTATTCACAGGTGCTATTACATCCAAATATTGACACTATTTAGAATTCGTGTTTAAAAAGCGGACCTTTTAATTTTGCTCACCAGCGTGGCAACCACACTGGGCCTGACACAGGTGTCTGCACAGACAATGAAGCTGGTGGGTGAACACACAGTTTTCTCAGAAGTAGTCACAGACCAGGAGGCTGTAAAAGCTGTGGAACACTTTGTAGGTGAGTACAGCCCACACCTGAAGAGGTGCACACTGGATCTGCAATGACAGTCAGCGAGACTGATCTCTCATGGTATCTCCTCTTTGTGCAGATGATGAGAAGGTCCTGGTGGAGCCAGCCTGTGGTGCCGCCCTGGCAGCCGTGTACAGTAATGTTATCAAAAGGCTGCAGGACGAGGGCAAACTGGCCCAGCGCCTGGGCCCGGTGGTCATCCTGGTGTGTGGCGGCAACAACATCAGCATAGACCAACTGTGGAGGCTGAAAAAACAGCTTGGTATTATCTAGCATGGCCAACTTCCTGACCTTACCTCTATTCCCCAGTCAGCTGGTCTCAGTCCCTAAACGCAATGTATTGATGTGGTCCACTGAATCATTCCAGACTGTGAAATACTCCTGAGCACCGAGGCTGACAAATGTGAGAGTGTGCTGCTGGAGGGTTTTCTTTTTGATCTTGTAATTGTGATGTTGCTCTGGCAGAGGTAGAAGGTGACCAGAGAATCCTGCTTTTGTACTGTTGAAATGTATTTTAAAAATAACTTACATTTGTGAATATTCTGCCTAAAGAAAAATTGCCCTGCTAGTTTTGTATTCCAGATGGTAAACTATCATACATATGTTGACAATGGTTTTAGTATAACATGAGTGGATCATCATCTTCATACAATAAATTGCACTCTTCTAAACATGCATTCACAGTGCTTTTGTGTTTTGCATTTGTACATACCATACAGTATATATGTAGTTCATTTTCTATGAAAGGCCCTTTGATATAACTACTGGTAAAGGGGTTGTTTAAACTATGTTTAAACTTATTATGCAGCTAAATTACATCTCTCCCATAGCATTCAGCTGTTGAAGAACAATTCATTAATGGCCCTGATGTCAGTGGCTTTCTTTTAAATTAAGTTTTTCTCACCTTTGGCAGGCCAAATGCAGTCAGAATTACATCCAGTTGTGATCCTTTATGAATGAGTAAATCATAACCTTTTAAATTTGGCCTCAGCCTTTTCAGCAAAGAGAGCATGTTTCTGGTTGGAGGGCCCTTAATGTTAGAAAGAAAGAGGGGAGACAGTTGTCTGGCTCCTTTATCCATCATTTTCTTAGTAAATGTAGCCACTGTACATTAGCAAACAACCTGGTAGACTGACGTGCACATCTTGTGGATGACCAGAAAATCTTTTTTTTTAGGGTGAACATGCAGAAAATCCTTGATTTACAGTCCGCACTGTATAATTCCATTCAAATGTGCTTACAGTGTATTACAGTGTATCTATGAATTACTTCAACCTTTTGTTGATGCAACTGATTGTTTTTAAACATTGCTTCTATAGCTGTGGATGGTTGCCTTTGCAGACAGCTCACAATGGGGCTGTGGGGACAGTGTGAGTCAGCAAGGAACATGATGAGAGATCCGGCTGGGACTAGCCTGGCCCAGTATTTGCTGCTTTGAAAAGGCATCTTGTTTACAGGCAGTGGTGGCGTAACCAGAGTCCACGGCAGAGGCCTTGCATACAAAGCATGTCCTAAAGAGGCATAACATGCTTTACTGACGTCATGATCCACATTCCTTCTCTGTCCATTCTGAAACAAAAAAATCATCAAAAAGAAAATTAAAAAAACAGAAAAGCAGTGACCAGATCAACAGGACAGCAGGACGACGTACATGAAGACATTTCTTTATTGTGACACAGAAATCTCAAATGCCATTGGATTCTTTACATCTGTGTAATCCATTTTAGATATGTTGTTTCTGATGTGCAGAGGTAAGACAGTAAAAGTTAAGTTAATGCAACCATAAATACCTGTAATAAATATCAAGTAAATGTACAGCACACATTTTATCGCAACAACTCTTTGTATGGATGTCCTTTTTATGACCCCATCCACTCCCCCGTAGGCGGAGGTATTAGAAAGGAGAGCGTCCTTGTTAGCAGCAACCTTCAAAAGAACTGAACCAAAATCTGCAAGCAATTCAACAACCCAGTATGTGTCCAATGTCACCTCTGCTGTGTTTTTCAGTTCTATCCAAGTAAAATGGCGGTTTTACTCACACAAGAAAACGTGTTTCACCATGAGTAGAAGAAACTGAATCCATCAGAGTACAAGACAAAGGTGAATAGACTACTGGTCATTTCCAAAACCCATAAAAAATAATAACACAACAAACTGGATATCCAACAGACATCACCTAGTTTGCTCATTTTAGAACCTTTTTTTTTTTTTCCTGGAAGAGTAGTGCAAACCAAAAACTAAAATTATAAGGTGAAATGAATCAGCAATTAATATAAACTGCCATCCAAGATAACTTCAGTCTATTTACATTTTTTTTCCCCATTTCATTTTTACAAAGCTAAATATTTGGTTATGGGTAAAAGAACAAACAAACAAAACAGTAGAATCCTGTTTGTCTTTCATTAAAGAAAACTATAAAAAAAGGCAGAACACAGGATAATCCGCCACCCCTCCCCCAGTGTATGTGTGTATATTGTCTACGTTGAAGGAGGGCTGGTGCACATTCAGTAGCAATAGCACACAAACGATGTGGGAGAGCAGCTCATGAGAACATCGCCTCCTTCCCATGTTCACAAAGCAACACTGGTTTCACAAACCTGAAATGCAAATGTACATCAGAACCAGCAGACCTCTTTTATTGTCCAGCCTACCTGACCTACCGTGCTGCCACAGCAACGCAGACAGCATAGAGGGTTTTCATAAACTAATAGATTAATATGACTTTTTACATTACTTAAATACCCTCTCCTCAGAGACTTGAATAAAATGTATTCAGTTTATATAGGCATACATTTTGTCCATTAGCAGTTGGTAATTTTTTTTACAACAGGCAGTAAACTACATACTATCCTGTACAGCACTTGCTCACATCTGCCTGTTTGTAGCCGACCTGGTCAAAAATAGGCCGCATTAGGCCTCCTTTTTCTTATAGTAGTCGTACCTCCTTCTCAAACATCAGATAATTCTATGGAAATCCTTTGGGTTTTCTTTTCACACACAACCAGGATGACCCTCTAGAGAGAGGCTCCTACAGTACAGCAAAGGCATGTTTCAGAACATCACCCCCACAGGGGGGAGACAGAGGGAGGCAGCTAGGTTAAGCTTTAGGAGAGTAAGAGCTTGTTTGTTACCTTCACAGTAAAGTTCAGCAACATGTGTCAATACTAACAGAGAGTTCACTGATCATGACTGTAAGGTGCACCTGTGAAGTGCTGATCTGAAGTCATCCCGTTAAGTTGATCTATTCACAGGACTGGAGTGAACCTTGTTAAACACTCTGATAAAGTCAGGGGAAGGGAAAAGGCAAACAAAGAAGTTGTATTTACTTGAATGCCATCCTTGAATTCAGTGCAGCCACAGCAGACACTTGTTATTAGCGTCAGTGCTAACTCTTAATTATGTTCCATGAACTCCTCAAAAAACAATGCGTCTAATGTATTAATGAAATGCAGTATTTGTGTAAACTAACTTTAAAAAAAGCAGGGATAAACATGCAAAGTATTAATAACCACCCAAAATAAAATTTAATTCAATTTGTAGTTTTGTTGCAGCAGCAGAGCATCAAGGACTGTTGTCCATCTCAGAGGAAGGTCCAGGTGTGTTGGGTGAAGGGAGGCAGGGGTCAAAAGTAAGACAGGAGGCGGGGCGCGCACACTTGGGAACCTTGGGTTGTCAAGCCTTCTCAGCCGCTGAGAGGGTCCTCGCGGTAGTGGATGGCGTATCGCAGTTTCTCCAGCATCACGTCCAAAGAGGAGTACTGGGGCAGTTTCACCATGAACATACATGTCTCAACGCGAATGTAGCGCGAGTCTGGCTGTCCTAAGGAACAGGAAAACAGGAAGACCAATGAGCTGCTGTGCAGCAGTAAGACTTTTAACCTATCTGTAGTAAAGACTAGACTGTTGTTTTAGCTTGTTTTTTTTAAATATTGACTCAGGAAACTCAGATTCCACTTCTGCAGAAGATGTGACAGTGCATCTTCCTGTGTGGAACTGCTACATATCCCTCCATAATACAAACCATTTATTAGCACAGTCAAACTATGACAAATAACATGTTCAAAGCCTAAGCTTGCAAGACAGAATGAGCTGCTTTGGTAGTCACTAGGTAATCAGCGGTTTGTGCACCAACATGAAACCGACAGCAGTCCATGTGTCCAGTTGCTGCTGAAACCTTGTTAGCTATTACCTGCAGCTCCATCGGGAGGGGCGATCTTCATGGGGTATGGGGGAACGTGGGCAGTGTCGGGCCCTCCGTCTTTGCAGGGGCAGGTAAATGGGATGCGCTCCTGGTTGCAAGCAAACTTGATGAACTTGCAGAGCTCCTCCTGAGTGAACATCTCCAGGGCAGCCCAGAAGAACTCGATGTGCTGGTCGGTCTCCATCAGACCCACCTGATACATGGTATGAGCCTACAGAGGGGGAAGGAGAGGGACATACTGAGATCAGATTTGATTAATATTAACCTGTAAGAAAAGAGTTTATCAACATAAAGCTTACAGTTATGAACTAGATGCAAGACTGACTGGATCCTTTATAACACATCTCTCTGCATTGCAACATATTATCAGTAAAATATTAAACGTTCACTGATACCTGACCCTGTCGTGTGACTGGCTGAGAGCAAGTCAGCATAATACGTGGAGGTGGGAAATGTTTCCACTTGCTTTGTAGTGTAGTATAAACAAATTTCACAGAAATGTATACTTTACCTTGAGGAACTCCAGGTTGATGTAAGGCAAGCCGCAGGTGCGCAGTTCCATCTCTAGGGGGCTGAGCATGGTGAGCAACTGCAGGGGAATGATGGAGCCCAGCCCTGCACGCACTGCTGTCATGCACTCCACGTTCTGCAGCTCCCTCAGGCGAAGGCTCCGCACCGCCCGTGCATAAACATCCTTATTTTCCCAGCTTAAAATATGCATAAAGAAGCATACAATACAACCAGAATAAAAACTGACTGTAATGTAAGTATATAAAAACCTGAACAATAAGCTGAGTACATTTCCTGTACCTGACAGTGAGGCTATGGCCTCCCTGACAAAGCTCCACCTCCTCACCAGTCATAGTGACATAGGTAAAGGTGCAGTAAGGTCGGCTGGGGGAATCTGGGCTTTCACCCGAATGGTGCTGGGAGGAGATCTCAGCACACAGGGTCTCCAGCTCTGTCTCGTCATTCACCTGCAGAGTCAACCAACAGAGGGCATGTTAAGGTTTGCAGAACTACGGTCTTAACAGCGAAACACGACATATACACAATACTGGTCCCATACATTCTCAAACTTTTTGACATAGTTGTAGGTGAGCACATCAGCTTCCTGCAGGTCCTGCTCTGGATCAAGGGACTCACCCACCAGACCCTTCCAAAAGGAGCCTAGTAGGTCCAAAGGAAGTGGCACATCTGCACGGATGGCTATGCCCAGTAGTTGACCAAAGAAGTGCAACAACTGTTCCTCTGCATAGCTGATAGGACACGGTGTTAGGATGTACTTCCCCTGAGGAAAACAAGAAGCCACTATGACTCATATTACACCACCTATGATAAACTTTGTTGTGCCAGATATTATTCTTAGAAAGACTATTCTTGGGATTGTAATATTAACAGAACACACAGAAGATTTGTTAAAACAGGACATATTGAAAACATGTCAGAGACTGAAAAACCTTACCTTGTTACGGTTGGCTGCAGCACTGGGGCAGGGGAGCAGCAGAGACAGAGCCGAACTCTGCAGCTCTTTACACACCTGCCAGAGGAAGTGTCTGAAAGAGCCACCTGAAGAGACACATTCAACAAAGCTACAGTTAGGTACAGGGAAAAAACACCTCAACAAGTAAAACACTGCAAGCCAGTACAGAAAAAGATGTGAAAGATAAATTCTAACTTGTGCCATGAACTTCCTCTCCAGTGAAGCGGATGTTAAAGGCATAGGTTGGGTCTCCTCCACTGGCCAATTTTACACAAAGCTGGGACGACGGCACACAAGATAGCTGACGTGCTGCTTGGCAGAAATATGTGTTCTCTGATGATCTGATCTCTCCTGAAAGACAAATTTCAGACAGATAGAAAGAATGTTTGCAAAGAACCTTGACAGGTGATATGAGATATTAAACTGAAAAAAAACAAACAATACATTAAGTAGTGAAAGGATTGCCTACCTCCCACAATCTCTAGTGGGTCCAGTGTAATCTCTGGAGCAGCGTGGTCAGCTGTCCGCTGTACTGTGGCATTCAGTACTCTGTTCATTACTGTGACCTTAGTGTCATAGAAGATTAGACCTGTAACAACAAGAAAAAAGTGGTGACACTGACACCGCCACACTGTACTAACATGACTTAAAATCACCCACACAGTTGGCTTTCTTTCTCTAACCTGTTAGATCGGTGCTGAGATGCTGCTCACCTTTGGCTTCACTTAACAGAGCAGCAATGCTGTTCTGATATGTATGTGTCTGTCTAAGCTCCACCAGTGGCAGGAAGAAACTCTCCAGGGTATTGTTGAGGGACTGCAGCAGAGCAAAGCGCAAGCGCAGGCTCTCCACAGGCACATCTGTTAAACACACATAGTTATATGTAACTGACAAACCAACAGAGCATGTGTGAACTTTGTAGGCAAAAGAAACATGAGAGCTCTTTCTTTAGTAGCTAGTAGAATGGATTCACACAATCATGTCATTGGAAGGGGAGGGACAATCTGCCCCTTGTGTACAGTTGTGCTTTAATGCGCAGGCAGGTTTCTTACTGAGCAGGCAGGCAACACGAGGATCAGCAGTATCACTGGAGTCCAGGTAGACTTCATGGGGGTGTAGTCTAGCTGGTGTGATAGCCAGGTGCCGACACAGCCTGTTGATGTACTGGACCAATGCCACATCCATTTCCAAGCTCCACTTCCTGCAGGCCTTCTGGGCATGCCGAGTGTCTATACAGGTACACCTGGTATGGAGGACAGCCTGTGTTACATAGAGAGCTCTCACTATTGCCCACATATTTATTCCCTCTTGTATGTTGAAAAGTAATCAACTGTGCTCCATTCAGTAGTAGATAAATAAGCTGTAGTGTGTTTCATCCTACTTTTTATATGATGGACAAAAAATACAGGCAGATGTCTTGCTGACAATTTAAAACTGCATTGCTTGTAAAATTTGATGACTCAAAAGTGGCATTTAAAAAAAAAAAAATCACTTAAAAAAATCTATTTTCATAAAAGTTTGAAGAGGACACATTCTGTTAAAATTAAACGGCATGTTGAGTTTCCTGTGTATGTATGACACTGTCTGAGTTACAGTAGTCTGAGTACTGGTCATTGGGTGTCTGGCTTTCCCCACCTTTCAAAGTGGAGGTCATAACCACAAGCCAAAATTGCCCTCCAGACACTGCGAATATCCTGCTTGGCACGGTCAACGGCAAATTTATGGAAGCCTTCCAGCGTCAGGTACTTCTCCTCTGGGACTAAAGAAAGCAAAGTGGTATGTGTGGCAGCTCACAGATTTCAAAACAGGACTTGCAGTAAGTAACCTTAATCAATTAATTGACTAAGTACACTTTCATTTCTGCATATATCTAATGATATGATTAGGCATACATTTTAACTGATCTGAGTACTGCCAACCTTCAGTCTTCTTAGCAGGAGATTTTTCCACATCTTTTTCTTCAGGCCTGGATTTCTCTGGTGATTTTGGCTTCAGGACTGCCTTCTTCTCATTCAGTGCCGTCCTGGGAGAGGCAGTAGACAGGAACATTTAATTCAGTTACCATGTCAATGTGTAAATCTGCCTAACCATGTGTATTTGTTTTTATGTGTTATGTGAAACTCAACGGACTCACCGGACACTGTTGAGCACAGACTTTTCCTTGGTGGGAGGTTTGGTGATGGGCCTCTTGGTGCTCACAACCTTGCCTTGATGCTGCTCTTTTCCTGCCTTGCTGTACTTGTTCTTATTGGGCTTGGGAGTGCCATACTTTCTTAGAATCTGAATAAAACAAATTCATTTGGCACACATTTACAATATAATTGTAGTTCTTGATCCCAGAGGGAGGCAGAGGGGAATCTCAACATGTAACACTTGAAAAATGACTACAAATTAGGATTATGGAACAAATCTGTAAAGTTATCAATAACACTAAATGTCAATATGAATAATTTTGAATAGTGATTGCAAATGTATAAAAAACAATGTTTATGGTTGCAAATCTATGCAGCTGGGCCACCAAAATAAAATCTTTGGTCTCTGCTAGAATGTAATTGTATTAAAAAGTGCATAGGATTACTGTAGCCCCGTTATATACCTGGGTAAGCTGGTCTTCAAGTAGTTTCTTGGGAGGTCGAACACTGGTAAAGAAAGTATGCAGTAGGTTGCCGGGGGTCTGAGAATTGATCTGCTCTTTGCTGAGGTAAATGTCAGACACTTTAAGTGGTTTGGCCGGTGTGAGACTGAGCATCTGTTCAGAGTGCACACAGCTCTTAAAAATATCTGTGAGGACATCTCGTGCTCCAGGTATGAGCTTGTCACCTTGAAACATGGACAAAGATGATTAAAGATGTTATACTGGTAGAAGTAATGTCACATTGCAAAAGAAGAAAATAAGCAATAACTAATCAGATTCAAACACCGACCTCTGACCGATTTGTCCAGGAAGTAGTCTTCAAGAGCCGAGCTTCCCTGTGTGTCAAACAGGCTTTGGTTAACACTGGAGGCTGTGAGGATCTCCTCATTAGTCAATTCCATTAGCTCCTCGTCACCTTCCAGACTGGACAATCCGATCAGGTCACTGCTGTTAAAAAGGCTAGCACGGATTTTTTCCACTTTGGCCCGAGAACGAACCTAAAAAAATAAACAAAGTGTATTTTGTCAGAATAAAACCAAACAAAAGAGTTTAGATCTTTTATGTGACTGTTAATCAACCCACCTCTATGACAGCATAGCCCTTGATGGGTCTGGACATGACTGCATTGCTCTCCAGTGAAGTGACTGTGTGCATAGAGCCCCCATCTGACACAGACGGTGTTTCTGCACTGTCCAAACTACCGAGACTCCCCAAGCTTCCTGTACTACATAGGGAGGTATCAAGACTTTCTTGACTAGAAACAGTCTGGTGGTCTTGGGGGCCCTGCTGTGGGTAAGTAACAGCTGAAGCTGCAGCTGCAGGGGTGAGAGATGGAACGGCTAACAGCTCCTGATCAACAGACAGTTCACTGGCAGTGCGGGAGACTCCCTGAGAGGAGCTGCAGATGGAGGTCTGGCTGGTAGAAGCTGAAGCACTCACACTCATAGCTGGGGTCACGCTGCTAGAGCTGTCAGGACTCTCAGGACCTCCAGTGGTGGGAAAGGGGCGCTCAGGTTCAGGGCCTGCTTTGCCATCCTGTGGGCTGGAAACCCCAGCTCCAGCTTTTGGCTTTTTGGGGTACTCTTCCTGCAGTGGAATAAAAACTTCATCTTTGAAGAGCCCTCCATGTGCGTTGCAAGCCCTGCGGATAGCATTTCGAACCACAGCCTCCTCCAGATGAGTGGGGATACCTGAGAGCACCAGTAGGCGGCTGTGGGCAGTGGGTCCCACCAGGGCCTGGCAGGCATCTGTCACTGCATCGCTGGTTACACTTAAGCCTTGCGGGTCTTTAGTGGCAAGATGTCGCAGGATCATCAGAAGTGTGAGACAGCGGTGGAACCACAGCATGTCCTCAGGTTTACTGCCCGCCATGTTCAGCCGGGCACTGTCACTCTCTGCTCTCTCGCTTCATCTTCACCTTCTTACGCTTGGATAGCAGACTGGGGCTCTGTGGCGTCTGGCCCGGGGATGATGATGAGGATGAAGAGGAGTCACTAAGGTTAGGGGCACTAGTGGAAGACAGCGCTCCCACTGAAGAACCACTGACATTGAGGGGAAGTGTCACCTCTGCCACAGCCAGACACACCTCCATAAGAGCATGGAAGTAGGTGGAGAACCGGCTCTGTTCTGCCCCGAGAGCCAACGCAATACCACCAGAAGACGACCCTCCTGCTCCAGCCCCTCCAGCTGTCCATCCTTGAGTCTCACGGTCGTACAGTTTTCGGAGTTCTGTCTGCAGGGCCATGAGCACTGCGAGGCAGGGGTTAAGCACCAGAGCAATGGAGCTAGAAAGGCCAGCAGGGCTTTTCCGTTGCTCCAAGTGGTGGATCTTTCGCAAAAGTTCAGCTAGCAAGTGAAAGATGAGTTCTTTTATGGAAGGAGCCAGATCAGTGGTCCAAAGCAAACCACCTAAAACAAAAAGAACAGAACAATGAAAACATCTGAAAATGGGATTTTGTGAATTTTCTATGCTTAGTATAATTTGTCTTGCAAGGATTCAAAGTTCTTCAATGACTTATAGAGCTAAAGGTAAAAAATTATAAATATGAGTTTAACAAGCTCACAACCCCCAAAGATTTTATAAGACTGGCATTTTATGACCTTGTAAGCAAGTAGGTAAAATCTACTTTTGTGCCTACTGAGTGGTTGTTGTGTAGGATTTTACTATGGATGTATTATACTAATGTATACACCAACTATAGTTGGATTAACAGATTAATAACTTGGGTTCAATTAAATGTTGCCATAATGGCCGTTCAACCTACCTAGCAGTTCTACCACCTGCAGCAGCACAGACGAGGGCACTGTGTCCAGCTCATCCTCTGATCTTTCACTGTCCTCTCCCAGCTTCCACGTCAACAGCTGTTCAGCAAAAGCCATGGCCAGAGGAAACTCCAGTGGCAAAGAGTGTAGTACCAGAATAGCACCAGGAGGGGGCGACACACCTACAATCAAGACAATAGGATGTTTTATTTTAGATTTCATAAAT